TTTTAAGTGGGAGAACTTGCACAATTGGTGGCTGACTAAATACTTTTTTGCCCCACTGTATATATATATATATATATATACATTACATTTACATTTAGTCATTTAGCAGACGCTTTTATCCAAAGTGACTTACAAATGAGGACAATGGAAGCAATCAAAATCAACAAAAGAGCAATGATATGCAAGTGCTATAACAAGTCTCAGTTAGCTTCGCACATAGCAAGTTTTTTTAAATTATATAATAAACAAAAAGAAAAGAGATAGAATAGAATAGAAAAATAGAGCAAGCTAGTGTTAGAGGCCTTTTTTGCTTTTGTTAATTGTATAATAAATAAAAAAACAAATAGATTGAATACAAAAATATTAGAAAAGCTAGTCTTAGTTGTTGTTTTTTTAAAAACAAGTACTTAGTAAATTAATAGAGTCCAAGTCTAAATGGGACATGTTTTTTTTAAAGGGGTCATATGATGCGATTTCAATTTTTTCTTTATCTTTGGAGTGTTACAAGCTCTTGGTGCATAAAGAAGATCTGTAAAGTTGCAAAGACTAAAGTCTCAAATCCAAAGAGATATTCTTTATAACAGTTAAAAGTCAACCACACCTACCTAAAACGGCTCATTCTAACACGCCCCCACATGCCTAAGTCAGGATGTGGGAAGATTTGCATAATGCCGCCCAAATGTTAACAGAAAGAAAGAAGGCGTAACTTTGATTCTCGCTGTAGTATTGTTGTTGCCGCCGCCGCCATGTTGTGGAGACGCTGTGTGTTTCGTTATGAAAGCGAAACTTCTTTGTTTGGCCTTCTAAAAGAGGACACAACTAGAAATAAACAATTCAAACCAAATATTCAGATGTGTGCAGGGCATTTTATGGAGGACAAGGACTGTTTACTGGGAGAGTATAGCCTACAATGCCGGTGTCTGTTTCTATAAAGTGGGGCAATTCCAACTTTGCAAGGACAGTCTGACCCTTCTGTAAGTATGTTTTCATATTTAAAGAATTTGCCACTGACGATTCAAATGCGAGTTTTGAGCAGTATAGAGTAACACTTGTTGTTTGTCGTTTCTCTGATCACAAATTCAGACATGGTTTTATGTTTATGCACGCAGTAAAAAGACAGTATAAGTCATTATAATCAGTAATTATGTTCCCACTGGATGCAACAAATGCCTTGTTTATAATGGGTTTTAATGTTTTTGTCTCATCGCTCTGGGATAAAGCCCCGTTCACACTACAAGCGACACGCATTAGCAAAGCGACACAATCCCATTAATTTCAATGTAGAGCTGGCGATTTCCGGCGACACGAGCGACAGTGGCTGTTGGCGACCGGATGGGGTGTGTCCAGCAACACGACAAAGTTCAGAATCCTTCAACTTTATGCAAATGAAGAGTGACTTTCGGGAGCAACAGCCAATAGGAAAGAAGACGGTAGAGCTCATGTGATTGTTCTAAAAAGTCGCTGCTAGTGTGAACGGGGCTTAAGGCATCACAGTATGGTAAGGGGCATAACATATCCGTCACACGATTGAGGTTTTCAGCCAATCACAACGCACTGGATAGCTGGCCAATCAGAGCACACCTCGCTTTTCAGACCCATAGACATTATATGTCTATGTTCAGACCGATGAGCTTTGTAAAAATCGACATGTTTAAGAAAAGCGGGGCATAGAGGAGAAACAATAATGTACAGTATGTGGAAAATAATGTGTTTTTTGAACCTTAAACTGCATAAATACATTGCATTACACCAAATACACAAAATAATGTTATTTTTAGCAACGTCATATGACCCCTTTAAAAAATAGAATATATGAAGAGTTTGTTTCCGAAATGCTATAAATCCATTTTGATTAATTTGAGTACAAATGTGTTTTCTTTACTAAGAAATTGGCAAGATGAAAACCTATTTTCTGTTTCAAACTTTCACATAGCATCTTTAGGTTATAACATTAAAAAGATTTTGATTTTCAAAGATTTATTATAAAATGTTATAATTTTTTCCCCCAATATGCAATAAATCCAAGACACTTTTTCCCCCCTCCAAAATGCAATAAATCCATTGAATCAATATAAAAGTTATTTTTCATATTGAAACTGTTGAAAATACACAACATAGTAAGTTGATCCACATATGACAGCCTCTGAACTTGGTCAATACTAATCTTATATGCAGGCACTGGACTAAAAATACATTCAATCAATCAGTCATCGCTCCCAAAAATAATTCAATGGGTCATCTTGTTAATGCTGTAAATTAATTACAACAATAAATTAAAATTTCATCATGAACATACATGAACAACAATATCACATTAAACCACAGAAATTACAAAATGACATTTCCCTTACATTCAACTTCCAAAAGTGCATTTATCTTTGCCATGTTAGCCTACATTCATTTAGTTGACTAGTGCTATACCCTGTATTAACAAAAACATAAATGGCATAAATAAAAACACTTACACTGACAAGCTACTCAATATCGCGTTCATAATCGAATGCGACTCATCTGCGATTATGAACGCGATATTGCAGTGATCTATGGCTCTGTGTATTAAATGCCGCTCCATCTGAAAGCACGTGATGGACATTTACTGTTCACAGAACCTGCTTTACTGACAAGATGCGCATGACAATCACATGCGATTTATCGTGCAGTCCTAATTTTTTTGTTTGTTTGTTGATCACAGTACAAAGTAGATGAGGAAAACTAGGATGCCGGATGTATTCAAAGCGCTGCCATTACGGTCTAGACTGCAAGGAATGGTGCGCTGTGATTGGTTGAGCGGATATATCGCATTCTGCAGAGACTGGCGTTTGTCGCGGTTTGGAAAAAAGGGAGAAAACATGACAGAATAACTCGGCGGATATCGCATTTTGCGTAAAATTAAAAATGTACTTTTCAATACCGACCAGACACAATACTGATTTTGGCGGAAACTCTTTTTTTTAAAAAAATGCCGTTTATCGCGTTTTGGAACCAAACTCTTCATATATATAAGCAAATAAATTAGTCAAACATTACTTTGGAAATACTAATAATAGGCCTAGAAATCGACGAGCGGTGACGTGTTCGTTGATGTCCTCCAGAGCACCCGCCCTCAATATGCGCGGTGCATTCTGGGTCCACCTCAAGATGGCGGCGCCCTTGCGCAAGTGTTGAGAAACAGTGTCGGCTGAAAGTCTGATTAAAATTAGCCACAGTTCTACAGTGTTGATCCATCATCAAAAACAACAGAAAGTGCACGGAAAGAGACCGTCGAATTAAAGTATCGAGCGCCTGCCGTGGCTCACGCAGAGTGTGTGTTTAAGGATGATCATGGGCCACTGCGCCTGACCCAGAACCAAACGGAGAGCCATCGCAGATCCCCCTGCAAACACCCCTTGATCCAGCGCCTTCAGATCCTCTACAGGCTTGGACGCTGCCGTTTAAGCTGCTGACGGGAGTGATCTGTGTGATCGTCCGCGGACGCAGCGGATCTCCAGCTCAAGCTTTGGAGAACTCTGCTGATCAGAGGTGCGAGTACAATCACAAAACCGCCCAGTTTCTCTTTAACAATTCACCACGGTGCCAAAATACCATATTTGCTTCAGTAAAACAGTTGGCATTAGCCGCCACTGTCATCACTAAAGAGAAGTGACATCGGTTCTTAACGCTTCACTGTATAGAAGACGTCCTATGTTTTTTAAATGATGGTCTTACAATGTAACAGTAACATTAGTAATTATGGTTTTTAGGCTAAAGTTGTCGTTACCATGGTATTTTCATTTGAATATGCATGACCAGTTCTGTTGTAATTGGTTTGAATGTAACCTGACTCTCAGTGTGGTAGATTGATAGCCTATGCTGGCAACTTTTAGTTAAATTTTTTAATGTGTCAGCTTTTGTGGTTTTAAAAAGTTTTCATTAAGGTTATTGAATTTAGTGATGTTTTTCTTGTCTCTACAGTACATGCAGTTTCAACATAAGTGGTTAGAGTCTTAGTGCAGAATTGTTTAATATCACTATGAGAGCTGCAGTTAAAATCTGTGCCTAAGCATTTACCAGATACTGCACCACCAGTGGCACCAAATGCTAGTAGAAATGATTGCAAACTGGTTTCTCTGAAAAGTCCCCCTTGTTCCATTGAATTTTCTACAGACAGGTAGATTTGTTCTAAATGTACACCATTCATTGTTTTTCCTCTGTTGGAGTGCTCATCAGTAAAAAAATATTTTAAATGATTTAAAACCAGCTACTAGTCTAAATGTTATGAGTTTGAAATGGTATTTAGGACTTATGGAAAGCTTCATGAATCTCACTGGCAAAAATTTATGATAGAACTAAGACTGTTCAAGCCAGCCCCTAGCAATAGTTAGGTGTTGTGTAGACCGATCGATGTCTGATTTGAAGCTGTGCATGTTAGAAATTTTGCCCGAATTGAGACAGCAGCAACAGCACATCACTGTGATGCATGACATACAAGTACTGCAAAAACCAAAGTATAAGAAAGTTCCGCACATCCCACAAACCCACACAGGGCTCAGGTGCAGGACAAAAAAAAGTCAAACAATAGCAAAAATACAAACGTATTGTCCGCACACTGATGTAATTGCTCTAAAAAAATAATTTATTGGGGCAACGTTTCGACCATCAGGTCTTCGTCAGGTCTTCACAAATAACGTGAACTGGTACAACTCTTTATAAGTAACAGGTGATCATTCTAATTAGACACATTCAATCACTGTGCAGGTTAGAGCCCCAAGGATATGGGTTTTTCGGGGCCGATAGCAATATTAGGGAGTAAAAAAGGCCGATATCAATATATCGACTGATATCCTTTATGTATGTTATAGTACAGTACTAGTCAAAAGTTTGGACACTTTCACAGTCGAGGGTCCAAACATTTGTCTGGTACTATATATAGAATACAGTATATACATAAACACATTTTTAGCAATGATCACTCAATGTTCCATACAAAGGGCATTTAAGTGTGCGAGACGTGAATTTAAATTGTATTTATTTACAGAGGTATATTATGTCCCACTTCATGCTTCTCTAGTAAGTTTTGTTTGTGTGTGAAGATGCTGCAGGCAGCGGCGCAGTGCAAATCTGTAAATGAATATTCCGAAGTGAAGTAAACTTCAACGGATTTCCCCTGCTCAGGGAGTAGGGAGCAATGGACACTGTGTAGGGACCATGTCAAACGGAACACAGTTCATGCACGGAGCTCACTTCTAACGAGATGATGATCTGAATCAGGTGTGTTAACAAAGAGAGACGTGCAAAACATGCAGAGCGGGGGTACGCGAGGACTGGAATTGAGAACCGCTGGCGCAGAAAATAATGTATTTGAATTTTAAAGATGTGGCTCGGCGCCGGTGTGGAACTGCCTGAAACGCTGTTTTTTTCACCTCCGTGCCCAAACGTCTTTGTTTGGGCTTCCGAAAGCGGATGATGTCAGGAAACAGTGGTTGCAATTTACTTTTTAACTCTGTTCCTGAGCATTATAACCCCAGTTTGCTATTGTGTGCTGCACATTTTACTGAAGACAGCTTCCACATCACGAGTGAGAAGTGCCGGATTCTCAAAAGCTTTTGTTGAAAGACGGAGCAAGGGGCGGGGCATTTTAATAATGTAAATTATGTGAAAAATAATGCGTTTTTCGAACCACCAAGCATGAGAGCATGTTCTAGTACACCCCCAAAACAAAATCAAGACTTTATAAAAGAGCATAATAGGACCCCTTTAAGCTTTAAAAGCATTTCATCCAGGTCGCCAGTAGCAAACAATGGAGCGCGCTCTGCTGGGCAATCCAAGTAATTAACGTATTGACCCGAATATAAGACAATGTTTTTTTTCTTGGAAATACATCTGAAAAATGTATGTATGTATCTGTAAAATGCGGTCGTCTTATATACAGGGTCTAGACTTTGACATGTCAATAATACACCCACAACAATGGGTGGCGCCAAATACGCATATAACGAGTGTGCCATGAAATACGTAATGTAATGCGTGTTGTAAAGATCGTGAGTAAAAACAAAAGAATAAGAAAACCTTACAGCTGCATGAGTCGTGACTGTCACGTTAGCCTAATGGGACCATACTCCCTTTGTGATTTTAAAACGTAAGACAGTACCCAGATTTGAAGACTACAGTAAGATTTAACTTCTACTGTTAATAAGATTTTGGTAGGCTACTATTAGATGGATAGCCTAAATGTCCTAATTCAGATGGGCTACCTGTTTTTTTTTTTTAATGGTATATCAAAAAGTGTATATTTTTTAAATGTGATTGTTGGTACATTTTACCAGTTTTTACCATACTTTCAAAACAAAAATTTAAATAGGAAAAATATGCAATATGAAAATAATTGAAGACAAAATGTGTTTTACTGAGGAAAAAAAACAAGATTTGGTTTTTCCAAAAGGTACATCTGGAAAAAGGGGGGTCGTCTTATAATCAGGGTCGTCTTATATTCGGGCCAATACGGTACACCATTTCAAGCATTTTATCTGAGTAATATGTTCTGTAAAAAAAAAAAGAATATCGGCGGCATATTCGCCGATACCGATATATCGACGACAGGCTCATATCGGCCGATAATATTGGTAAAACGATATATCGGTCAGGCTCTAGTGCAGGTACACTCCCACAAGGAGAGAGAGAGAGAAAAACCAGCATTAAACTCGAATAAATACACAAATCAATACAGGTCAAATACAAATCTTAAACTCGAATAAACTAACAAATCAATACAGATCATTAATCACTCAAAATATTCAAACAATACTGAAGACAGATGAAAAAATACACACACTCTTGGGGGGCCCCAGTGTTCAGTGTAATGGTGCTGGATGTGTTGCTGCCGACCCGAACTGCCTGAGGTCTTCCAGTCAGGAAGTCCAACAGCCAGTTGCACAGCGAAGTGTTGAGCCCCAGCTGGACCACTTTGTGAATGAGCTATTGAGGGATGATTGTGTTGAATGCTGAACTGAAGTCTATGTACAGCATTCTGACGTATGAGTTTTTTTTGTCCAGGTATGTGAGTGCTATGTGGAGGGTAGTGGCGATGGCGTCATCGGTCGAGCGTTTAGACCAATATGCAAACTGGAAGGGGTCCAAGGAGGGGGGGAGGGCAGACTTGATGTGGTGCATGACTAGCCGTTCAAAGCACTTCATGAGGATGGGGTAAGTGCAATTGGACGGTAGTCATTGAAGCAGGATGGAGACGACTTCTTCGGGACTGGAATGATGGTAGTAGCTTTGAAGCATGTGGGGACAACAGCCTGACTTAGCAAGATGTTGAAAATGTCTGTGAAGACATCGGTAAATACAGATTAAATACAAAATACAACTATACAAATATACAAATAAGGTAAAATGTAAAATATATATATAAAGCACAAGGCATATGGCAGATAGAGTGCAAACCAGTAAAGTAAACAACAGTGCAGATAGTGATTGTAGTGCAAAAAAATGATTTTTAGTGCAAAAGAGCTTATTCAGACTGATTAAAGTGACAGTGTGTGTGTGTATTTTGATGTAAACACAAAGCACTCCGCCGCGGGTCTTACCTCCCTCGACGCGAGCTCTGTCCGCTCGATAGCATGTCAGCTGATCGAGATGAATAGCGCAGTCCGGAACGCTGTTGTTGAGCCATGTTTCTGTGAACACAAAAACACAACAGTCTCTTACAGGCCTCTGAGTTGAGCGTAGTAGTCGGATGTAGTCCAGTTTATTGGCCAAAGAGCGTACGTTAGCCAGTACGATGGTGGGGATAGCCGGCTTGTGTGGGTTAGCCGCTAGCCTACCCCTCTTCTGCTTCCTCTCGCGCCGCTTGTGGCGCCTCCGCTGTGGGCAAGATGCAGCAGAGGGGGTCGGTGATGGTGTGGGCCTCCGGAGCAGACCGAGATCCCGCAGCTCTTCGGCGTGCGCAGAGTTTAACTCTAAAAATGTGGTTCTGCCGACATCGAGCAGAAACTCACGACTATATGTGCGCTTAGAAACAAATAGACGCGACGAATGCGTACAAAAACACTGCGACTCACAAGACAAAAAACACGAAAACACCTTTCTGTCGGGAGAGAGAGAAGCGTGTGAACGCGCCGCCATCTTGGTAAGAGGAGAAACACAGAGCAAGCCAGCAAGCCAGAGGCGACAGCGGCAAGGAACCAAAACTCCATCGGTGGCAGAATGGAGAAAAAACCTTGGGAGAAACCAGGCTCAGTAGGGAGCCAGTTCTCCTCTGGCCAGATGAAACCAGCAGTTCAATTCCAGGCTGCAGCAAAGTCACATTGTGCAGAGCACTCAACTGGCTCCTGTGGTCTTGTCCCGGTGGCCGTCTGAGACAAGGTCTTTACTTGGGGATTTGAATATTAGAAATGTGTTAGTGTGTTATGTGTAAGCCAGGTTAAAGAGATGGGTCTTTAATCTAAATTTAAACTGACCGAGTGTGTCTGCCTCCCAAACAATGTTAGGTAGGTTATTCCAGAGTTTGGGCACTAAATAGGAAAAGGATCTTCCGCCCGCAGTTGATTTTGATATTCTAGGTATTATCAAATTGCTAGAGTTTTGAGAACGCAGCGGACGTGGAGGACTATAATGTAACAAGAGCTCGTTCAAATACTGAGGTGCTAAACCATTCAGGGCTTTATAAGTTTAGAGTATAAATCCAAAAAGACCCACAAGTTTGCAAGGGACAATGATGACTATCAGCATGGAAGGATTTATTTTTGGAGGGATGGAAAACCAGATTCACATACTCATCGTAGTTGGGCCACCTTTGAGGTCCCCCGTAGATGTCGACAGCCTGGGGAGAATAGGCTATGGGTTTCTTCAACATCGTGTGACTCAGATTCTGATGGTGCTGGTCGATGACGGAAAAGCTCAGGTTTTTTAAACTGCACTCGGGCAGAAGTGTCAGGTACGGATTGGAAGGCAAGAGGCTCAAGAAAAGATGTAGAAGGGGTAAATGAAAGAGGTTCTTCGCTTCCTCCACGAATGACGAGAAGCAATCAGAGGAAACGGTTATGAATTTCTCAGATAAGTCACTTTCTAGTTCTTGTATTGCTGCTCTTAGCAAAGGACTTTCTTTTATTCCTACTACTGAGGCTAATGACTTTGACACTATGATTGACTTTCAAAAGATTTTTAGATCTCTGAGACTGAAGGAATTCTTTGGTACAATTTAAATATCAGCTCTATCTGATGATGCTCCTTCTGTTACTGTACAGCGCAGTGTCACTTCTGATTCGTCCAGTATTCGTCTTCCTTTTAAAAGGAAGTCAACCTTTATCCCACCTTGTATCAGGAATGCATCTTTGGACACTTACTCTGTAGGTTGTTGAAGCTGATGTTAAGACTTTGCTAAAAAATAAGAGACAATATAAAGCATATAATAATTTATCAAAAGCGGAGAGGGATCCTTTATTTGATCTTAAAATAGATACTGATGTGGTTGTGTGCCCTGCTGATAAGGGAGGGGCTATAGTGCTTCAACGAGCTACAGATTATGAGAAAGAAATTAGGAGACAATTGGATGATTGTGTCTTTTATGAACGTTTACCTGCTGACCCTACTAGTAAATTGAAAACTTTGTTCATTCCAAATTACAGCATCATTTTAAAAATGGAGAATTCAGCAAAAATGAGTATGAATTTCTTAAAGTTGATTTTCCGGTCACACCTTTGATATATACATTACCTAAGGTCCACAAGGGTTTGGATATACCTTTGAAGGGTCATCCTATTGTAAGTGGTATTGGTAGTCTTACTGAGAATATTTCTTCTTTTGTGGATTTCTTCATTAAACCGTTTGTGCCTATGTTGCCATCTTATGTAGGAATGTCCTTATGTCCGTCCGTGTTTTGACTTCAGTAAATCAGTTTTGGCAAATACAAACTATGTGATTATTTTTCACGAGTCCAACATCCCGCCGTGTGTCGAAAACATGCAATCTACCCGAAACATGATCAATAAGGGAAGCCGTCTTTTATTGCAAAATAGAGACTTTTTTTTTTTACATTTAAGTAAGTTTCTTAACCTTGTGGTCTATCTTATTCGTGAAACACACAAAATGACCAATAAAGTGTCTAGCACCAAAAGCAGCCCATACTAAATCTATAAGTTATCTTAGGTACGTTAGTTGTAGATATCAGGATACTGCAGGTCAGGAAATCTATCCGTTCCTTTATTGATGGGCTACACGTTAAAAGCACCACGGAGGCATTATAGGGATCTGTTATGCTTAATCTATTAAGTTTTGCTATGTACAGGTCTATGTCTTTTGAATTAAAGTACGCAGTGAACTCTGTTGCCTTGAAACTTATTCATTTCATATTCGCTCCCGGCTGTCCCTGCCTGCCAGCATGGTGGTGTAAACAGAATGGGTCATGTGACGTCCGGAGCTCTATAGCCAGTTCATTACAGTGAACCCCTGGGACACTGGAGTTTAACAAGATCTGGAGGTCTTATGGCTATGTGTGTAATGCTAGTGATTTACTATCATAATATATGTATACTTATGTTGTTTGGCTGCAATGGTTCTGTCAAATGACATTAATTGCCTACAATGAGACAATGTGTTTGGGGCTATTGGCTCCATACGCTGAGCACCCTTCACAGTAACACGGCATAATTTAAAACATTCACCATAGCTATCTGCTATATGATGTGATGTTGAGAAACCAATATCGAAAGGGGACGTCTCCAGTTACTGATGTATCCTCGGTTCCCTGAAATGAGGGAACGAGACATGTGTTCATGCCGTGTTACTTCTGCTCAGGGTTTTTCATAACTTGTTTATTCATTCAGAAGTTTTTAAGGAAATTAAGTTAAGCATCAAGCAACAGGCATCATGTAGGAGGGCGTGGCTGCCATAAATTTGCACGCTTGATCTCCATTGACTAGGCAAGGCAAAAGTGTCTCATTCCATCATTTCAGGGAACAGGTTACATGAGAAACCGGAGACATTATAGTTTGATAGAATGTTTTTTATTGTTTAATAAATTATTTTGTAAATTTGGAAAATTACTAGCTTCTCGTATAGTCTGGTGAAGCTCCAACCAATGTTAACTTTTGATAATTTTTTGTGATAATAGTTCAGAATCCGATTCTAAGTTATTTTAATTAAACCACTTTAATAATGCACCTCTACTTTCCACATTGTAGACCAGTAAATGGACGGTCATATAATTGTTATTTTTTTATATCCTTTTTTAGATTCGTTATGAAAATGGATGCTGAGCTGCTTCACTCCCCTGTGGTTGGTCTGCCCGAGGAGGAGGAGGTGGACATGACTGACTGGAACCTTCCACTGGCCTTCATGAAGAAACGCCACACAGAGAAAATTGAGGGATCCAAAGCTTTGGCTCAGAGCTGGAGAATGAAAGACAGGGTGAGGGAGAGACTTAATGTTATCTTTAGTCTTTTGAGCATCAAACTAATCAACTTGATTGAGCATTGATTGCTGTCTAATTTCATTGTTTATGTGTGTGTTTCTTGTTGCCTTGATTTAGTGTCATTGCCACACTGCACTAATCTTGGTAGTAATTGGTTTGACTTGCATACTTGTCACTATTTAGTGAGTGACTGACTTGCGTGGTCAGTTGATGTAGATATCCACATGTAATGAATCCTATAGTTTTTTTCACAGTTAATGCGTTTATCTAATGTGGAAAGGAAACAGTGGGCATTTGTATAAATATGAGGTTCGTCAGTTTGTGTGCATGACACTTGCAGTGTAAATTTATGGAAAAAGTACTCTTGAGCTCCGCTCTTATGCAACAATTCTACATTTTTCTTACCGCCCATTAAAACATATTTTCTTAATGTAGGGTGGTGCTGTACTTGGACTAATTAAATGAAACGTAAAATGCACAAATAACATTAAATTATTTTTGTTTCTAAATAATAAAAATAATTGATGTCATAAAATCTCAAGATTTGATTTAATGGTCAGACAACACCCTATACAATGAATAAAAATCACAAACATGACACAGTTTATTAATATGTAATAATGTTTTTAAAGATTGATGAAAATCTTAAAGAAGTAACGTTACATGATATTAGTGTTGCACAATATACAAGTACTAGAAAGGTATTTCGATGCCCTCCTGTTAAAAAACGGTATGATTCCTCATTTTGTTAGTACCGGTACTTGATGGAATGACATTTTAAAAAGCCGTATTTCTTGAGTTGCGCCGATGTGTGACAGCAGAACAGTGTGTGTGCAGTGATCTGCTTCACTTGCATTTTTGTATGTATTAGGGGTTGCACCGACTAATCGACTAGTCGACTTCAATGCTCTGCCATGACGCTTTTAAGCTTGACGTCGACTAGTCGCTGGTCCTATAGAGCAGGGGTTTTCAACCTTTTAGGCCTCCCCCTTTATTAACATTAACATAAAAGCAAATCCATTAAAGCAGCGAACAATTTTTTATTTTTATTTTGCTCTTTTTGATTAACATTATTTACATAAGAAATGCACGGATCCGTTATACTGACGTACATTTGATATTTCCTTTACTGTTTACATTCACTTAAAACAACCGACTGTGCTTACAAGGATACTTGTCAAGACAGCCATTGGTATTCACCTGCTGTCTGAGAAGGCTATCTGTTTGTGCACTTCAGGTGTGTGAGCGGTGCGCATAGAAACGCTCTATCACAGTGCGTGAGTACCGCAGTGAGATTTCTTGGGCTTAAATGGCTTAAAATTACTTTAATGTTTAAACTGACAAGACTTAAAACACGTGAGAATGAAAAACTTTCTCGAGGAAGCAGCACTGGCCTCATCGTTAAGATAGTTTTGGGGGATAAGGTGACAGAAAGGGGGGTTTAGAACCGCCCCTGGTATAGCGTGCGTAATTATACTGAAACATAAATATATAACCAGTTTACCTGATTCAGTGTGATGGCTGAGCCTGTTTCTGAGATGATAACATGCCAATCTGTGGTTGGATGTCCGACACGGCTAATCGTAAATCATCTTACACTGTCAATAAGCGTGACCAGGGTTGCCAGGTTTTCACAACAAAACCCGCCTAATTGCTACTCACGCGGCAAGCGGGAAAACCGCGGACTTGGCAACACTGATACTCGAGTCAACTCTGCTCAAACTGTCGACTAGCAGTGGGAGTCAGATTGCCCCCTAGTGGATGGCTAAAGATTTGTTAACTCATATTCATAAATTCTCAAGGGAAGGTCTCTGAATTAACTGATGCTCCGCCCCCCTTGACGCGCCCCACAGGTTGAAAACCCCTGCTATAGAGGGCGCAACAGGATAAGAAATCTTTGAAGGACTTCCACATTTACGCTCCGTTTCCAAACAGTTCAAATGACAAATAAATGCATATTCTGAAAGCGCTCCACAAGACATGTGATTATATTACTGGATGCTCTAAATTGAACAGTAGAATGCACGTTTTAAACGGCTTATTGCACAGGTAAATTAATCGCCGTTAATCTAATGCGCTGCTGCACTGTAACGCACACACATAGGCTACAGACAGTAGCGCGGACATCACACACAGAATCATTCAGCGCGGAAATGTGTTGTCAACACTGTTCTGTGATTTCTCAATAAAATATCTTAGAAACTGAAAAGTTCAAGCATTTATTTCTTAATAACTAAAGTCCACAGCTTCACTACTAGTAGAGAGACGCTGCCAGGTAGAATTAATTCACACACGCAATCGCTCTCACTAATGCATTCATATTAATGTAATCTTTACTGTGCTACTTTATCTGTATCTGATTTAGAATGAGCAGAAATATGTGAGAAATATAACGACCCAAAGACAAAAGAACGGATAAAAAAAGCTGCTATAGGAGCAATAGCCGTGTGGGCAGCGCTGTGTTATATGCCATAGCTGTGCACAAGGTGTTTGTCACAGCTCCAGACTTATTTGTTCATTAATGAATAATCATCAGCGACTAGTCGACTTCGACTTGACTTTCATCACATAAAAGTCAACTTCAAAAAATCAGAAGTCGTTCAACCCCTAATATCTACACAGCGCACAATTGATTTAAGTTTTTGACATGTTAAACCGACACTGTAAACCCAAAAAAAGTAGTCAAAAAATGTAAGATTATCAGTTCAGAAATTTAAGTGAGCAGAACTGGCAGATATTTATTTTGTTCCCGTACATGGTAATTGCTCTTAACATAAAATATTTGAGTAAGCTAACTCATACGAACTAATTCAGTAAATGCTAATTAGTAGTACAATGCTTTGATTAGCATTGCAATTGCTGAATGAGTAAGGCAATATAGAACATTTAATCTCAAACTGAGATCTCATCTGTTCTCAAACTGAGCTCATGCTTCATTTGTCAGAATGATGGCCCCCCCCCCCCCCTAAAAAAAACACAACATAACAAACTTCTAAATTTAGCATAGTAAAATATTATACATTACTATGTATAATATGTATAATGTATAATATGTATAATCTCCCACTTAACATGTACCTTGCACAAAAAAGAAAGAAATCTCAGCTCAGATTTAATTAAATTTAGGTTTGTCTAAATTAAAATACATTCAAGTCAGATTACTTAAAATGTGTAAATGTTCTAAATACCTTAAATTCTAAGGAGGAGGACATGACGTTTGGCCAAGTATAGTGTTCCGTATTCAGAATTTGTGCTCTGCACACACACCCGGAGCAGTGGGCAGCCATTTTTGCTGCGGCACCCAGGGAGCAGTTTGGGGTTCGGTGACTTGCCCAAGTCGTGGTATTGAGGGTGGAAGAGAGCGCTGTATATTCTTTCCCCCCACCTGCAATCCCTGCCTCTCAGACAGTAAGCAATCCTGAATTATGTTCTCTTTTGCAACTTGTGCTTGAATTGTCATATACACACAACATTGACTATAGGTCCATTTTAAGGTATGTCTAAAACCTAAACAGTTGTGAGAAACTCAGATGTGTATCAGTATATTGGGTTTGCGCGTCAGATCTTAAAGTGACAGCAGCCTAATATTCTTGCTACTGTCTGTGTCAGTAATGTTAATCAAACAACAAAAGAAGGACAAAATCACTAATTCTGGGATTTAAAAAAAAAAGTTGATCACTTTCAATGGGAATCAACAGAATTAACAGGAATATGTGGGAATTAATGTTAATAAAAAGGAAATTTGCAAAATTGCAGATTAGCCTATAACAGGGAACTCAAATGTTGTTGAAAAAAAACCCCATCTTGGAGCATAGTCTTGGTTAAAACAACCATATTTAATACAAATTCAGTTGAATTTCTATCAATCACATTCCTCAATTAAATGCACAGATCATTTCTAGAATCTTCACTCTACAGCAGGACTATTGAAGTCACATTACTGAATTGTGTTACTACACTAAAAAAAATATTTGTTGGTTTAACTTAAAGTAAGTTCCCTGGTTGCCTTAAAGGGGTCATATGACGTTGCCTGTGAAGAACATTATGTTGTGTATTTGGTGTAATGCGATCTGTTTATGCGGTTTAAGGTTAAATAAACACATTATTTTCCACATAATGTACATTATTGTTGCTCCTCTATGCCCCGCCTTTCTGAAATGCGTAGATTTTTACAAAGCTCATCGGTCTGAAAAGCGAGTTGTGCTCTGATTGGCCAGCTATCTTGTGCGTTGTGATTGGCCGAATACCTCAATCGTGTGACATAAATGTTTTAAATGTAAATTTTACACAGAACTAGAGGAAGCCTAAGTTCATATTGTAGAACATAATACAGAACTTTGCACATTCAAAACTAATTAAGTCTAGCAGTTTTCAAGGAATTATCAATCTGGACCATTTAAAAGATAAAAGACAGGATCGTATAAATCGAGATATTTAGTTTCGGTTTTGATTAATTCAAATGTGCTCTGATTTCGGAGTTGCAGTGATAGAGCCTTCATGTCATCTCACTCCACAATAATTCACGTTTTGAGAGTTGAGTCACTCTCCCACTCTAACTTTTATTAAGGCATTGTGATTACTTGAATATACAGTCATACTACATTCAAAATCAGATATGTTATAACTTATCGCACTAAAAACTTGTCCGTCATGAATCTACTGTCGACGTTTACATCCGCACCAGCGCCACTGCAGTGTGTGTGTGTTTAGTAATGTTGTGAATGTGATGACTGATTGGATGCAGTACTTGCACACTTGGGCTTGTTTGTTAAACAATTAGCCTATGCAATTTATATGTTTGAAAACTGCCAAACTGACCCCAAACCAGTCCAAATTTTTTCCACCAACCCAAGCAAATTTTTACCCGCACAATCAAATTCAAAACCGCCCAATCTGGCAACTCTGTATAAGAGACACCAAGCAAAGAGCGCTTCTATTATGGCGCAACTGTCCGGGCTTACTCACGCCAAAACTCCTCATATAATCAATAACTAAC